TGCTTATAAAAAAAACAACAACAACAATATGCTTACTTAAATATGATTAGTAAATGAAATAATCATTAGATATAGTGCATGTATAACAGCCACATAGTACAATAAATTGCAAATTGTATTTCTCATATTTATGTTTAGGAAGTTGATCTCTGGCTAGGAAATCATGAATATATTCTATTAACGAAAATGAATACAATCAAAGATGCAGTTTTAAAATGATTCAAAAAGCAGGACTTCTTGATAAATCACACTGCTTTAACATAAATATTATAGTATCATAAGCCAAAGATAAGCTGTGTTTAGCCAAAGTCAACAGATTCCTAAGGATACATATGAGAACTACAGTTTACAAGCTTTATAATCACCTACATTAGTTTCAGCTGATTGAGCGACTGGATTGAGCTTCTTGTACACTACATGTATCCATATTTATTCGTTTCAAGACTTTGATTTGGTGCCTGTGAGCAAGAAAGATCTTGTTACACAGTCTTATTATGTTTAACATCGTCGACGACTAATGATATAACTCAACAATAATGCATAAAAAGTACTGTTCACGGTATTAACTGAGCGACAAAGCAGACTAACGTACCTTACATGAAAATTGCCAACGAATCTCACCAGTTGACGGCCATCCACGGTTAAATATCATGCCTAAAGACACTACAGCCATTCGGATAGCTTACTAGTTGAAAGACGTTGTTTGTAAACGAATAAAATCCACGAGAACTGCCATGAAAGACGAAAAATCTGTAGACTCGCCTCTAAAATGACCGTTAGAAATGGCGCTCGAACGAGACAATTAGAACATCGCAAAGGATCATGGATATCCTCGCCCCAGTCTCCAGGAGGAAACGTGTTTTTTTTAATATAAAAGAAAAGTAATAAGCTAAATAAAAGTAAATTCGAAATAGATAAATAAAAATAAGCGAACTTCATGTGAAATTATGCATATTGTTTTAAACTGTACGGATGTGAGAAAGAGTAGTCTTCTCGCAGCCGTTCTTAGTGTCGGGCTCCCTGTCCCCCGCCCCACATAGTGCAGTACGGTAGAGAAATAGAAAAAATTATGATATAGAATTATTCATAATATCATTAATCATAACCAGCCTTRTTCATAATGGGTACTCGACAATCGGGACAAAATAGTGCTATATGTAATATATTTTGTTGTCTTATTATTCTCTATAGGACCCTATARTATTTCACAAACGGTGTTTTTGAAAGCTAGTTATTGCGATTTATTGAAAATTCTAGGGTACTTGAGTCAGAAGTATTATGGTACKTATRCCTCAGTKATTCCCATYCGTTACGTTTTTCAAGAGTATTCGGTCAGGAAAACTATTGATATACGTGTAGTATGCTGGTTTGAAAACTCTTGACAAATCATACTTGACGTACTCTGGTAAGAATACGCCAGCGATACTCGATACGTGACGTATGCAATAGTATTCAATATGAATACCCTAGGGATACGTCAAGTAT